GAGGATGGTCCACCAACGACCTAGTGGGGCCTCTTCAAAGCTGTGCTAACCGGCTAAAGGCAGACGCCAAAGGTGGGCGTGCCGTGGCACCCCCACCCTCTTGCTGTCTGCCTCTGTTTAGCAGAGATAGCGTTAGCACCGAAGAGGGTAGCATCTATGAGAGTTGCTCTAATGAGGGAATCAACGAGCACGTAAGGGGTCCGTTTCTCGAGTTCGGGGCGTTTTCTCGTGTTTTTTTTTGTCCCTGCAGCGTTTACCTCTGCACCTTGGTTTCTAATGGGCTGCCTTTTTATCGTAAACTCCACCTTTAACTTATTCGTGCCTGTCTATTACATTTTTAGCGAACCGATCTGAACATGATCGACGAGCAATACGTCGAGTACTACGAATACCTCTGTCAGGGGATTCAGAAGCTTTTCGATAGTGGCATCACGTTCAACGCTGACTGTGAATCGCGAGGAAGCCCATCATCGTTTCAACAGCCGTCCGTATGGTAGGTTTCCATTCGCGATTGCTTGACCATTAGCCTCAAGTTGAGATATCGTCCGATTAAGCCGTGCCCTGAAATCCAAGTATTACCATCAGTACAACTTGGGACCGGAAATCTATAGCAGAAAAGTATTTGTAGGAGGATTACCTATTGACATTGAAGAAGGTAGGCGCTCTCGTTCTGCCGCCACTTTGTGTTCCTTCAAATTTGCTTATTCAGACGAATTAGTGGAAACATTTGCTCGTTTCGGATCGTTAGTCGTGGACTGGCCAAATAAGAACGAGACCAAGAGTTACTATCCACCCAAAGGTGAGCATTTTTTTCGAGGGGAATTTCGTAGCTTATGGCTGGGACAGCCTTCGTTTTCGGTTATGTGGGTTAGTACTGTTTGCGAGTCGCCAGATTACCGACAGAGTTGAAGGGTAAAGGATGAATTTTTACGTCAATCAATTCAACTACAATATTTTGGATGCGCCGTGCAGTGTGCTACTTTTATTTAAAATCGTTGTGGCATTTGATGCGGCCCGGTCTACACACGATGGTCGCTTGCGAGGGCCAGCTGATGGTCGTCAGTATTCCTATCCTCCCAGACAAGTCTCACACCAGTTGGATACCCTGGTGAATGAAAAGTTTAGTTGTCATGTCCACCATTCGATTCGAGATTTAACCTCCCCAACTTTGTGTGTAGGAAGTAGCGCCACTTACCCCTATACACCCCGGGCCCTCTACACACTCCATATCGACAGCGTTACAGTAATCAACAATTTAATCAACAACAACAATCAGCACAGTTGTTCGCAAGATTCCACCATTTACACCAACACCCCACAGTTAGAAAGGCATTCCCGGGATAAATTTATTGTAAGAGAGCTTAATAATGAAGGTAGAGTTGAAGAAAGGTCGGGTTCGAGGCGAGTGCGTCTCACGCGGTCCCACTCGGCTTAGAAGTGTGAAAGCATGCTCTTGGTGAACCGCCCCACTTCCCATTTCACTACCTTCGGGCTGACGGAGCTCTCCATAGGCCGACAGATCAGTTGTAAGCTCGAGATTAAATGCTGAACCGGCCGCTCCTTATTTCTTGTGAAGGGAAATGGCTTTTCCCATTTCTGATGTGTGATTTGATCATATTGCGACAGTATTCCTTTCTTGCTCCATATCCTTGAGCTTCTATAATATATGAGGCATGGGCCAATCCGATCGCGCTGCCTTTCTGCGGAGTAGCGTAAGGCGGATGAGCGCCAATGCTTCTGCTTTTCAGGCTACGTATTCCTGATTTTCGACCATGAAACATCAGTTCGAACGCTGGTTCAGCACTGTACGGTCGAGGACGAAAAACTTTTTCTCTTCATCAGTTCTCCGATGAGCGCCGAAAAGCTTGTGAGTTGCTTCCGAAGCATCCATTCATACTTTTCTGGTACAACTGTCTGATAACTAACTTTTCAGAAGGTGCAAATTCGCCCATGGCGTTTGGCGGATGCCGACTATCTAGTTGACGTTAACGTGCCAATAAATCTTCGTCGAGTTGTATTTGTAGGCGGAGTTCCGAGGCCCATAAGAGCTGGTAAGATCAGTTAAGGTTAGCACAGTGTTTCGAAAGCGGATAGACAGTTTCAGTCGAGCTGGCGCACATCATGGATCGTTTATACGGTAGTGTCGCTTGCGCTGGCATTGACACTGATGTCGAGTATAAGTACCCTAAAGGTAAACTGTTACTGATAAAGAATTATAACAAGCTGTTTCACAAGTGTTTTTCGTGCCCATTTAAACGTTCTCGTTTCCTCCTATTTCTCTGAAATAAGGCCTCTAGCGTAAGCTTTCTGGAATGTTGTTATACGACAGCGGCTTTTGTACGTTCAGGTGCCGGTCGCGTGGCTTTCACCAATTACAACTCGCGTCGCGGCCCCCCCTAAAATAAAAAAAAAGTGAACAAGCAATAACAGAACGATATGCTCAGCTAAGTCATGGAGAAGTGGAGAAAAGGGTATGAGCTTAATTTCTAACAATGCGGGTTATGTATGTCACGACAATGTTTTCGACATCACGCACCAAATGTCAGAGACGTCAGAGAAACTGGAAGAGAAGCCACCAAGTCGACCACAGTTACGTAACTGGCGAGTGAAGACATGGAAGAGATAATAAAATGGGGGAAGGGATGCTTTCCAGGCCTATTGGCCAGTCAGGTTAAAGGTGGTGAATACGATACAGCAAGAGAAGTATATGAACCAATAGAGGCGCAGCGGGGGAAGCATGGTGTGACATTAGTTTTCAAGGCGGATGGAGCACAAGATGCAGCGCATAAAGCTCTTCCTACCTGAAACCCGTTCCACCCCGAGCTGCTTCGCCACCAAGTGGAGTTTCGCAAAGCCGTCGTCATTGCCGTTCACTTTTTACTTCCATTTTTTGCATATTGAAACAAACGGTCGTATCTTTTCGTCGTTTCGTCCATAAATTCTATCCGTACACCTACCAAAACGGCCATTATCAATGTCACCCCAAGCAAAATAAACGGCATCAATAGGCAAATTGAGGGTTTCATTCCTCGGTTTTTTGCGCGACTCTTAATTTCTTCCCCTTTGCCACACAATTTGAAACTGTGTTTTCAAATACGATCAACATCAAATTATCGTACACACTGCTTTCAGCACATTAACATCCAAATTTTGACACTGATGACGCTCGTTTTAATCGAGTTTTTTATTATTCATGTTCTAGAACGGTCCGTCCACATTATTGGGTTCAGGAAGTAGGGTAATCATTGGTAATGAAATAACTAAAGGGGTGATGGGTTAAGGATAAAAGGTTAAAGCATTTGCCGTTGATCAATCTCTGCGGCACGCATTCTACTTCCATTTGTACATTCGCAGTGGCGTTTGAATGCGATGTGGCCTATACAATGACTTGCGGGCCAGCCGATGTCAGTGTTTTTATCCTCCCAGACAAGTCTGGTACCAATTAACCGACCCCGGAGGGATGGAAGGCTTGTTGGGCCGCGCGCGTGGTAAGCGTGCCACTTGCCACTACACCACTACTGCCCTAGGAAGTGATGGTGGTTCTAAAGAAGTATTCAAAAAAGAGGGGCTGTCAATGGGACAAGGAAGCTGATGCTTGGCAAAAAGCCTGCAAAAGGCTGTGAAAACGGCGTTTGTCGAAAGTGTTAAAACTGTTGATGTAGTTAGACACTTTTATGGTCAAAATTTTTATTATCCACCTCGAACTACCATAATCACAATCATTACAGGTAGAAATGAAGCCATATGTACTGGATGATCAGATTTGTGAGGAATGCATTCGTGAGCCGAATGGTGGACGACACGCACCTTTCTTCTGTCCGCATCTTGAGTGTTTGCAGGTAACTTCACAACCTTTTTCTCTCAACCTCTTTCTTTCAAAAACAACGATTTCAGTACTACTGCGAATCATGCTGGACATCCATGCATGGAAGTCCTTCACGAGAACATCACAAACCGCTCGTTAAGGAGGCTTGAATATCCATCAGTGTTGCTTCTGTGTTGTGGTTCTTCATTAATTTATTACACCATGTAATAAAAAAGCATGAAAATTTGTGCACATTTCATGGACGTTCCTCGGAACTTGTGATGCTGTTGTATTGGCTTGTCTGGAAAGCTTCCGCCGATTTTGTGGTCATTTCTGGGTAAAAATTTCCACAAGAACAAATCCGTTTTTGAACAATATGTTCTCCACTCTGTTAAATAATGGTTCGCCACCTTTTGGAAGGTCCATTATCCCGCTTATAGAAGGTTCCAGACTTAGCATAAAAAAACTCCAGGTGCTTTTTGCAGTCCTCCTGAGAAATGATCGACTTTCCGTTCAAGTAATTCTGCAGACCTAAACAAGTGGGAATCTGATGGAGCTATGTCCGGTCAATATGGGTGGTGTGGTAAGACATCCCACCCACGCTCCAGTAATTTGAAGAGTGGCCAAAAATACGTGGGGTCTGGCGTTATCCTAATGTACAGCTACGCCCTTACGATTGGCCGCTTTTGGCGCTTCTGGTCTATCGCTGCCTTCAAATATTTAGCTTAATACAGTATTTTCCTCGGCTATCGTTTGATTATGCGGACAGCTCATAGTGAATAATTCCCTCTCAGTCCCACGAGCAACGCTGAATAATCTTCCGCACTTAGATTTTGGCTTTTGGAGGGGTTTGCTTCGGCTCACTCGAATGGCTCCACGATCGTCTCCGCTCCACGTTGTCGTACACGGCCCACTTTATGTCTCGCGATACCATGCGTTTCAGAGACGACTCATTTTCTTTTCGTATAAGCAAGGAGCCGCACACGGGGACTCAGCCCCATCAGATTGGGCTCGCAGATTTGATCACATTTGTGAGGTATCCAGACATCAAAGCGCTTAACAAAACCAAGTTCGATCGACTGGTCGTGGATGGTTGATTTGGCAACACTATCGTCAGTCTTATTTCACGGGTCATGCGCCGATTCGTTTCAATCAAAGCAACAGTCCAAACAGGGTCTGTGCTTTCAGTACTATTGGGATTGAAGGATGCACTAGCCCTAGCGAAGAACATATGATACACGCGGGTGGGTTGAAAGTGGTACGATTTCTGTTTCTTCGCACCTAATTAAGGGATGCCTCGCACCGAGCTGCGAAGCAGCCCTAATTGAGTGCGAGAATTTAGAGGTCATGATGCCACCTCCACATCTCTATTGATTGAGTAAAAGAAACTTCATTGAAAAAACAATCAGGGTTAAATATTCATATATTAAGTGAGGGTAAAAGTGGTAGAAAACTTCGAATCCTCGTTGTTTCCTCCTTAGAAAGGACTAGAACCTCTGAAGTGTTCATTAATTCGAAGAATCGTCCCGTTGGCCTTTTTTTGCACGCACGGGTTTTTTGGCTTTGAACTGCCATAACTTTTTTTCAGATTCAATTTTTTGCTCTTCTTTACCCACTGTAACTAATACAGGGTCAGAGCTTCCTAATGTGTGTTCGAACTCACCTCAAAACTGATGGGCTCACGAAGCACCCAGTTGATCCGTTGTGGGAGATTTACGGTCCGATTTTTGGCCACGCGCTGGTTTTCTTTTGATTCTAAACTGCTGCAGATTTCTTCGAATTCAAATTTTTGCAGCGTTTTTCAAGGAATACTTGAACTCATCCAAAATGGAGCGGACTGAAACGTATTTAAAGTACCAGTTCGCTTTTTTTTCTTTTCGGTCTATTCCTCTGAAAACGCGGGTCTTCAGGCTTCACATGATTGGAACTCTCTTCAGAAGTGATACTGTGGAAAATGATAAGAAAAAATTAGAAAATTACGAGTTTCGTGCTTTATGTTGGACACCGAATCTTTACTGGAAGCTCAATGACTCCCCAGTTTCTAGGCCTCGGAAAGCGATTCGCCGAAGTGCTTACACTTTCCCTTACATGGGCATGTTTCAAAAACATCGGGTTTCCTGTAAAAGACACTAATCGTGAATCCACGCTCAGAGTTCCGAGCTTACCCCATCTATCTAACATTTCGTCATTTTTATTGCGATTTCAGCCAGTCACGTTTTTTTCACACTATTACAGCGTCAGCCAAAAAGCGCAAAAATTTGAATTTGAAAAAAAGCTATAGCAGTTCAAAACCAAAAACTCGCGCATGCAAGAAAAAAGGAAAGGACCAACAGGGCGATTTTTCAAGCAGTGAGCACTTAGAGAAGTTCCAGTCGTTTTCAAGGAGGCAACAATCTGGAGGATTTGAATTTTTCCTACCACTTCTACGCTCAGATTATATACGAATATTTAACTCTGATCATTTTTCCAATGAAGTTGCTTTTACTCAATCAATACGGATGTGGAGGTGGCATCATGACCTCTGAGTTATCCCACTCAATTAGGGCTGCTTCGCACCTCGGAGCGAGGCATAATTAATTAGGTGCGAAGAAAAAGGAATCGTACCACTTTTGACTGACCCTGATACACGCAATTGTAAACAGACTCACCTCGGGAAGCCGCAAAAAGGGCTTAAAACTTTTAGGAATGGGTGTAGTTAAAAATTTTGGGAACGCCCACCTTGCCAGCCGTGATTGGCTGCGGAGGCATTTGCGGCCGTTTTGGGACCACAGGGACCATTCCAGCTCCATCCTTAAAGCAATCGATGTGGCGATGCCGACTACGCTGGAATTCTGTTTTCTTTCCTCCTACCTTCTACCTTCAAGAGTACACAATTTCATTATAGACAGTTTACATCACGCGAATTTGATCTGGAATTGTTGCTTTAATGCAATACTACCATCAACCTACCAGAAGTAAACTTTGTCTGCTATTTTCTGCTCAAGGTGTTTGGTTTGACTTTGGCAGGTCGCGTCCAGTTGGTATTCCTTGTCGTGACCGACGGAATGATTCGGCACATTTCTCATTTTTACACACCACTTCACGCTGATTAATGAACACCTGACCAAAATGCAACACCTAGAACTCGTAAGTGGAGCTGTGTCCGCAAACGTTGAAAACTAAGATCGTCTGCAAAAGATGAAGTACCCGAATTTTATAGCAATGAAGAGAAAGCAAGATTGAAAGGCGGAATGACATGAGATCTAGCGGAAGAGTCAACGTTTACAAAAGCGAAGAGGATATGGCCGATGAGTGGTCCGCTAAGGTCGAAACGAACTGAAATATCAAAAGAGACTATGGCGAACAAACGGTTTTGAAGGCAACGAGTGGCAGACGGACAGTCATAGAAACTACATCATGACGGGCTGATTGTGCTTGGCGCGCGATTTGAAAACGCCACACGACCAGAGGTGTGGGACCGTAAAATCGAAACTCTCACGTATCGCGGCTTCTCCCAGCGCACAGCGATAGAGCATTTTCGCCAAGGTTGTACTCAAGTTATGGAGTTTGAAGCGTGAATAGCAGCAAAGAAGCTGGTCAAAACGCCTTACCATCTGATAACCCATTCATTGCACTTATTTCTTGCAGTTCTTGAACGCATGCACATGCGACGAATGTACGGGATCTTCCTTAAGTTTGAAACCGTACAACCTAAACATCACGCAGACAAAGATGTAGTATCAGGCACGTAAACAACCACCACGCATCGAATGTCAATATACTTCACCGGTCGAGTAATATGTATTTGAAGCTAATGATGAAGCGAAAGTGGTGTAGTGACAAGCTTACTACGTAAGCGCGGGACCAAATCCTGGGTTGTGAGTCGCCCTTCCCTCCGGGGTCGTTAATTGGTACCAGACTTGTCTGGGAGGATAAAAACACTGACTTGTACATCGGCTGGCCCCCGCAAGTCATTGTATAGGCCACATCGCATTCAAGCGCCGAATGTACAAATGGAAGTAGAATGCGTGCGCATCCTGAAAAGGGATTGATCAACGGGTATCCTTATCATGAAGACAGAAGCAATACCCAGTACTCATTAGTTCCTACGTCCACCATATATTCCTAGGGAACTTTAGGAGTTAGCGGTCGCTTTCTGATGATGACGATGACAACGCAAATGAAGTGATGATGGAATGGAATAAATTTTTTCTCTAGGATCTGATCTTAGGTGACCTCTATGTTCCCACGCATTTCGTTGTTCACAGCCCTTATCAGTTGTTGTCAAATTTTGTTCACCTCCAAAGATGTTCCCTCACCTTCTACATCACTTGTTAGATAACGCCTCAGCGCGAGACACGCGTCCAGGATTTCATGAGATTTCCCTTTAAGCGCCTCTTAACAGCCCTTATCAGCTGTTATCCATTTCGGTCCCCACCAACGGGTTACCGATCCACCCTTTACATCACCTGTAAGAACCAACGTTTCACCGCTGCTGCGACGAGTGCTATGGATTTCGTGACACACTCAGACAGACAGACATAGCGCTTCATAGTATATACATAGTAGCACGTTGAGTGCATTTCCCGCTCGCGTGCGCACGAGACGATGCACGATTTTTTTTTCAAGCGGCAAGTGTTGGACACCACTGACCGAAATCGTCTCGGGAGACAGACTCCATTTTGTAATATGTGGAAATGGTTTTGTAATGAAGTAATAACAACAGTAACAAGATTCGCGAGAAAACAGTTGAATTCAAAGGATTGTCTGTTTTTTGGGAAATTTTCTAAAATGTTGTAATATCTCCCGATATTCATAAATTTCCAGGACGAATTTTGATGTAGGGCCTTCCCGGATACTCTCTGCAGCTTTCCTGATGCTTACAACGTAAAGCCGATAAAGAAGTATCTAACAGGGCATACGATCTTATATAAGGTTAGGTTAGGTCTGGGACTGTCAGAAAAGAGCCTCGCTAAATGGGTTTCTTACGCTGTGTAAAACGTAGAACCGTGAGAGGGTACGGTTTAAGCAATCGAGCGCAGATCAAAAAATGGCGCGAAACAAAGCAAAGTTTTCGAAATGTTTGGAAAAAGCATAACTAGCGCTCGATATTCGATTAGCCATCATCTAATTTTCAGTGTGAGTTATTTATTTGATCATATCGTCATCCTGAACAGAAGCTTGGACG